GTTTCATTCCGGTTGCTGCCCGGTTTGCATAGGTCGTTAAACACAATAGGTTTGTGGCTCAGGTAAACCGCCAAGCCACACCTTAGGGTTTAGGGTCCCTAAACCCTATAAACCCTAAAACCTAAAGTTTAGGGACAACCTTGCCACTTTCAGCCCCTTTGGCTAATTGGAGGATCAGGAGACTTAGTAGGTGACGTCATCAATACCATATTTGGGGTTTCCTTAGCTAGTAATGAATGCTTATGCCAGTATTGACGTTGTGGATAGCCCTAGCTACTAAGTTGAATGATCAATTCAAGCAATTCTCATAGGACCCTCATAATGAACCCGAAACCCTAAACCCTCATAATGAACCCTAAACCCTACTTTGCGTCGTGTTCAAAGAGGCCGTTTTGCAGCCTAGATTGACAACTGTTTGTCTTGATCGAAGAGGCTGTTTGGAGCGAAGTTGAGCTTTCTTCAGCCTCGAACATGCAGCTGTTNNCGAAGAGGCTGCTTTTGGGTCGTTTTTTGACTGATTTTGCTCCTTGGTCCAATAACCCCTTTCTCCCATATATCTTTTGCGCCGACTTTAGCCGGAAGCTTGTTGACAAACAACTAGTTGCCGTGCAGGCGGTTGGTCAGCTTCCAGATGCACAGGTCGGATACTATCTCTTACGTTACTCTTGTAACGCCTCCCGGGTGTGCTAACTCAGCCGCACCGCTCCGACCAGTCATTGTCTCCATGCAGTTCGTCGATTTGACACTGCCGTCCAAGCGGCCCTTCGGGTGCCTCGTGCGTACAGCGGCCTCATTGAGGATGCCTCTTCGCCGCAATTCCCCGCCGCACCTATCCAAAGCTCCATGAAGGTGGGTACCCGGCTGGTCTCACCCCAAACATGGCTCGACACTACTCAAAGGTGCGATTGTGTGAGCCCACATCGCGGAGTCGGCAGCATAGACGGCGGGTCGTAGGCTCCGGCCAGCATCCATAGCCGTCATAAGCCCCTTGCCCTGGATTTTGCGATCAACCCGTTTGGTCCGAGCTATTGGGACGACACATGGCGCACCCGGGCTGGTGCAGCAGAACCCTACTCTGTGCTCTCTTGTTCGGAAACGCCACTTCCATTGCATTGAACAACTGTGCCCAAGTAAGAATTCAATACGTGCAGCAGTGCCAACTAGAACCTTGTTCACGACACTGCAAGCACTTCTAGTTGTCATCAGCTGCGGCATGTTTCCGTAGAAGTAGTAGAAACGTTGTTTTTATCGTGTTCGTTGCAATTTAAAACCAAAATAGCCTTCCAACTGAAGCTGACATCCTTTCTAACAAGGCAAGATTTCTTGTCGTGCTTTGAGCTTGAAGCCTCTGACACCAAACGCTGACACTCATTGTGGCAAGTTAGCTCTGAACGTCCATGACAACGGCAACGGATTTGTCATGCATGTCAATCTTCCACATGGTAGTTTCTACTGCTTTTCGCAGCAGATACTTGCCCATTTTCAGATCATACTCGTGCTTCCATCAGAAATGATGGCGGTGATGCATGTCCGTTTCACTTAAAAGCTTTCAATGCCAAAGACGCCGTCCAGAAAAGCCAAGAAGTGCGTATTTTCAGAAGCATACGGATCGAAGGCCAGTCATCTATCAATCCCGCCGGTTTCAAACCACCAAAAGATCCCAGCGAACCTTCGTGTCGTCGTCCGTGATCGTGCTTATCGTCGTTGTGCTGTGTCGTGCCGTCGTCGTCATCGTCGTTTGCGGCTTGCAACGGGTAACGCCAACACATTTAAGGCAAATTGCAAGTTTTTTTGGGTGATTTGAAACCTAGGCAGGTGAACCTGGGTTTGCCGATGCGGTGTTCATGAGCAAGGGTTTTTCGTGGTTTGAAAGCGGTGGAATTGGGTGATCCGGTGAAGGAAGATCAAGACGTCCAATTTATTGTAGGATCTAAAAAAAAAGATCCTCTCTGCCAATGTTCGTGAATGGTTGCATCACACACATGTGGCGGCCGACGACTTGGTGGGCAGCGAACCATGCCACTTCAATTTAAATTGTTGGAATTTACTATTGAATTTACTACTTGGAAAGTTGTCAAGTGATGGTGTAAATGTTTCAAAGCCGATTTTCTAACAGCTCTTTGGCTGGTTGTTAATGAAATTGACAATAACACGTGGCTTGAAAAGTGCCAGGCTGATTGTGTGACCGCATCATGTGAGAATCCAGCTCCCCGTTTGACATGGACACATTGATGTAATACACCGATGAGTACAATACACCGGCGACTACGTGGGCAAGCTTTTGTTGAGGTGGTCGATCTTTCAATCGTGTGCTACACACCAGTTCTCCATTGTTGCATCATGGCGCCACGCCGCGAGGACAAGAAACAGCAGGCAAGCTTGCAGCCAGGCTATGTTCATGAATTCCATCTTAGCGAAAAGGCAGACTTGGGATGATTGTCAATGTGTGAATATATGAAGGCATGAATCTATGTGTACGTTGGCTGCGCACCTTGGATGGGCTTGATGATGGCTTGCATGATTGGTGCATGCATGACAGGATACTGGATCGGACAGACGGACGGAGGGGCGGGTGGGCAGACGGACAGACGGAGGGACGGATGGATGGATGGCTGGATCCACAGGGACATGGATGAAGCAGCATGGTGGGACGTGCGCATGCGAACATGACCGGAACATGTACATGTTAACATAAAGACTATAGAAATACTGCAGGTGCAGAGTCTTCGCGCAAATGCATCACACAGGCAGACAGGCATGTAGAGAGAGATTGACAAGCAGTCATATAGACCTAGCTACCTTCACCTTTCGTACTTACCTACCTACCCTACCTACCTACCGACCGACCGATCGGACCGACCGATGCCTACCTGCCAACCTACCTATCTACACACTCACTCATTCATTTACAAGCACGCATACACGCTCATTTGCACAAGTGAGCTGTCATGCCTCAATCCCGTTGCAGATAAACTGCATATGTCGCCGTGCTTTGAAGGAAAAAAAGACATGGTTACAGGAGTATTACGACAATCCTGGTTACGGTGCCGTGCTGGCAATTAGCATTTTTTTTGCTGATTTGATGTTGCTGACCGTTGCGTTTCTTTGCTGGTGCCGGCCTGGGTGGGTTCCAACGGCTTCATCGATAATCTGTCAGTCAGTCCTTGACTCATATCCATACACATGGTGTTTACTAAATCTTGCCACGCAACCGTTTAGGATGCATCGTGACCCTGTAGGGTGGAACGCTAGCTGGTCATCGGTGCTAGTTCCGATAGGCTGGCGACCTGACAAACTTATCGTGAGCACGAAGTTCGGATAAAAGAGCGGTTCTCTCTTGACAACGACGTTGGATGATCAAGGTTTCTGAAAGTCTAAAGCTTGTCTGGTCATTGTGTGGTTTTGTTGTTCGGGCATCCTGTGGATTATGAATACTCGATCAAAGCGAAGGCCCGCCTGGTGGGACGGTCTCAAACCTCACCGACCAAGAAATGTGCGACCACGTCGAAATGCTTGTCGAACATCTTGAAGATGATGATCTGAAGAAGCGGATAAAAGCCGCCGAGGCCATGTCTGCGTACATTGCCGATGATACATATTTGCCGGAGAAGATGCCGGTCCACCCGGCCCAGGTGTTGGCAACCTTGTTTCACAAAGCCATCCCTGATAGATTAGCCTGCATCAGTGCAGCCCGGTGCCTAAGTATTATGGGGAGAAAGGCCGCGTCTTACGCTTCTGGAGCGCTTACGAAAGTCTTACAGAACAGTGGCAGCGACCTGAGATACGAAGCCCTGGTGGCTTTGGGATACCTCGGGCCAGGGGCAGCTCCGGAGGCTGCGGCGGCTGTGGCAGGACGTGCCACGGACGACGACGATGCGCGTTTACGTCGCCAGGCGCTGCATACTTTGACCATTTTTGGGCCAGATGCTGCTCATGTTTCGTCTGCAGCCATTGCGAAGGCATGCCACGATGAGGACACAGACGTGCAAGTCGCAGCGATCAAGTGCATGACTGCAATGGGTTCAGACATTGATTGCAGTGTTGCTGGTCCCTCGCTAGTCAAAGTTTTGAATTCAGGATCACAAGAGATGAGGCGCTTTGCAATGGAAACAGTTGCCGTGATTGGTTCTGGACTCGCGAGCTACGTGAGTAAGCCAATTGCGGAACACTTGCGCCCGCTTCCAGGGAGCGATACGGAGCTTCGCTTGCTGGCGGTCATCGCTTTGGAAGCATTGGGTCCAGAAGTAGTCTATGAGCAGGAAGTCCTGCTTGCCAGAGCTGTGAAAGATCCAGAAATCGAGGTTCGGGAACGGGCTTTTCTGACGCTGCGAGACGCAGGATGCGTAAAAGGCATGATGGGTTCTATGATGCTGGAGGAGCGCATTTTCTCGCCAGAGGTTCTTGCAGCCTCGAAATTGGCTGCAGACGACAGCGATTCTGGTTCGTCGGCATCATCTGACTCGGATTCGAGTGCCGAACTGGAAAGTTTCGGAAGTGAAGCAGAAGAAGACGAGGAGAATTATCCTGAAGATAGTCTTGGGCTGGCTGAAGAGTCACGCGAATCACCCGCCGCCAAGTACTTTTCAGCATCGGTTAGTTTGCTGTGCTTCAGTTTTGGCCGCTTGAGTTTTCAGAGATCGAGGCATGTGAAGATGTTTTTGTGGTTGAGTTATGGGGCAGAGAGAAAGGACATCGACGCCGAGGAGGCGGAGCGCCTCCGCAAGAGCCTTATGCAGTGGTCCTGAGACCGGGCGACACGCCGGCCACGGCAGCGGCCTCCAAAGGGAAGTCGAATTGTCTCACAGTTTCACACCGGCATTTGTTTCCAGAATGCCGCAGGCCGCAGGAACACGTTTAGACCGCTTGTAAGCGAGTGCCCTTATCGGGCCCTATTGCTTGTGTGAGATACAATCGGTTGCATCAGTGTCAAGGCTGGCTTGACATGTGTACTACCCTCAGCTTTGGCCGAGCAACAGCAATGACTGCAAATGCCCATACATCAGCTTATCACACATATACATACTGGCTATTGTTCCAACCAGTCTGGTAGCAAGTTCGACTATTCTTGCTGCTTTCGATGTAGGTTCACCACACCCATGGGACACACATGCATTTCATGTGTGCTGCCAGTCTCCATCGTGCTGGTCGTCGGTGACTAAGCTGTCTCTTTGCGACTGTAAGTTGCTGTCGACGATGGACAGGTGGCAGTGTCAACATGAGTGGTTGCTGTTAGCTGAAGCTACATCCCTTCCACCGAAGTGCCGCATCGAACTCTGACTTTGCCAGTGCCGCAACTTTCATAGATGCCGTTACGAATACACAGTTTCATCCTCATCCTCTCTCCAAGGCGGCGTCGGCACAGCAGGACTGCACATACTTGATCTGTCCAAGCGGACATGCTCCGAAGCTTCGAGTGACTCCTCCACTGTGTCCGAGCCTCGGCCATGGAAGTTGTGCTCTTGTGGGTCTGCGGCGCGAAGCGGCTCTGCAGGAAAAATCAGGATGCCAGAGTATTGAGCAAGACGCGTATTTGAGGAAAGCCTTGATGTAACATGCAGAGTGGCATCGCAGAGCCTAAGGCAAAGGGCAGTGCAACGTTGCCGTCGACTTGTACACGTGCTGCGACCAACTCTGCAGCGACTTTAGCTGCCAGGGTGCATCTGAGCTCAAGGCAAACTCTTCGGAGATCGCAGCCTGGCGGAAAAGGGAGGTGCATTCTTTTGAATTTGCCTTGAAATTCGGGGGGTACAACAGGAACGTGGGGGAAGGCTGTCTCTCTGTCTTGGTTTGCATCTCTTGTGCTGAAGGTCTGCCGCGGACAATGCGACAAGTTGAGGGATAGGTCGCGGTGTTGCGACATGCTTCCAGCCCAAGAGGAGCGCCCGGGCCCCGGCGCTCCTTTTTTGCCGTGCTTCTGTGGCTGGTCTTTGGCGCTCCCCTCCTCCGATGCTCTCTGAGCCAGGCCTGCAGCTGCTCCGGGCTTCGGTGGCCGGCAAGGCTCGAGCACAGTTCGACTTCGGAAGTGATTTAGGTCCTACGTAAGTGAGAATGCCAGGCAAGCCAAGTGGATCGCCTGGTGTCCATGTCGGTTGACACGCGTCGGACCCTTCCTGGCGGTACGGGGGCGCGAGCCTTGGGCTTGGGTTACTGGGTTTTGTTCTGGTCTGGATCGGTGCTGCAGATGTTTGCTTTGTGCAGGCGTTGCATTTTGCTGCACTTCACGGACACACTCAAAACTTGAGGCCCGCGCACGAAGAGCTCTTGCATGTCTGCTTGTCTGTGTTTTGGGCCCTGAGGCGATTGATCGATGGCCGAGGCGACGTGAATGCGCTGGACGCCCTCGGCTGGGCCCCGCTGCACCTGGCGGCGGGCACAGGCCAGGCCCCGATAGGCCCCGGCCCCCCACATGGTGGGGCACGAGGCCTCCGTGCCCGGCTCTGCAGGTCGGATCGCTGCCATGAACTTGCTCATCGACTCTCGGGCCTCACTGGCCCGTCCGCTCCCGTGCCCGATGTAGTTCCGCGAGATGCAGCTTCGACGCTTGGCCAGGCCATTCCTGATTTACGTTCCGGAGACGGCCGCCCTCTAGCACTAGGGAGTGTCATCTCTGCGAGTGCATCACACTCGAGACATCAAAGCTAAAACAAGATGCTTTCTCGATGATTGCCAAGGTTTGGAACCTTTGGATGTTGCCCGCCAAGCTGCGCAGCGCTTCCCTTGGCTTGCCCTGTGCTTCTCATGCCACCTTGGGCCATGAATTGCCATGATTAGCTCTTGCCACATCCAGGGAGTTGCCATGAAGCAAACCGCTTTACACCTCTGACCCTGGAAAGGTCGCCGCGGGTTGGCCAGGGCCAGAAGGATCTCGCTGTCCTGTTGGCTCGTCGGGTTCGAGTCGGGAGCTTGATCTCAGAGCATTTCAGAGCTCATGTGACACTGCTGTACCAGTTGATGCTACAGGTAACTACGGGTAAAGAATGTTGCCTAAGAATCTCACAGACGACCGCAACAACATGCGACTGCTCTCCTTTGACGTGCGAGAGCAGTAATCTGTTCTGAGGCGTGGAGAGATGAGTTGAACCTCACTCAAAGTTCGTGAAATGATGCAGCATAGTGAGTAGCTAGGATTATGCGCACCGTGTCGTGGCCGAAGCAGGGTCTCGACCTTTGATCCAGGCAGGTTGAGAATCTCTCGACTGCAGTGCCTAGTACCCTTCCTGCGAAGGGGGAGTACTCGGACGTTCAGTCTTTTCAGAAGTTGAGAGGCTCACGCACACCCGTGTGCAAAGCACACGGAGTGGTGTGGGCACTTGATTTCGGCCACAATTTCGGTGATAAAGGAGAGCATCGGGATCGTGAAGTTTGTTTGGCAAGTTTTTGCGTGGAATGCCGTTCGAATGTTCGAGTCTCGAGGAGCTTGGGGCATATATGGTATATATGATCGCACCGCTTGATGTTGACTCACTTTGTTAAGTCTGTTTCCTTAGCTGTGTCGACGCCGGAATCCCTTTTGTCCTCACTGCCAACTTGTATCCTGTCGCCTGCAAGCAGAGCCGCCATCTGTACCCGCTCTTGCAGGAAAGCCGTTTCCAGCAGGAAGGCTGCCAGTCCCCGCATCATCCCTACAGTTGCATGTCCGATGTTCGTACCGCAAATGTGAAGCTAGAGGCATGCCTCTTTACGTCTTTGTGTAGCTGGCCCCACAGGCAGATGGGTGCAGAGAAAGTCTTGAGACTTTACGAGCATGCCCTGAGCCGAGCGCCAACTGCCATCACCGGAGTGGTTGCTGGATCGTGCGGGCCTCTGAGTGCAATCAATCGGACATCCTGTTCTGGCAAACAGAGAGCCAACATGTTCTTGACATCGATTGGACCCTAAGTCTTTTCTGTCGGCTTTGATGAACCCACTTCTTTCGTCATGTCTTGTTCAGACATTCATGCGGACAGTTCTGTGCGACGAATGTGCAGTATGTAATCATATCCGATATAGACGCGAGGTCACGTAATGCATTTCACATGATCGACTGTACAGTTTAGCTTGCGACACCGGCTTCTTTTCAGCCTCGACCTGTCCTTGTTTTCCGGCCAAACATTTGGTCCTGTTGCATACTGATGATTTTTGTCGCGGGCATATTTCCCCGCGTGTTTCCTGACATTTCCGGTCTCTTGGCCTCCCTGTTGGCGACGTCATGTTTGTCAAAAACTCAAAACTTGAACCCATTTGCAGGCTCGGCTTCCTGGGGGATGCCGTTGCCAGGGCCCTGGGAGTATCTGGGAGTGTCCTTTTCTGTGTCTTCTCTGACAAAGCTAAGAGCATGTGCAGCCACAGGCGCAAGAAGTTGAGCATCACCGTGCGGTCTCTTCGGCCTTCGACGCCCAGAGAAGTTGCCTGGATGACCAATGAAGAGTTGGCTCCGTGTGCTGCATGGCCGACTAGCCGACTAGCCAAAGTTCGCATTGCTGGGGCATTGACATGTCTTGACCACAGTTGTAAAGCGTGCAAGATTTTCGGTTTGCTTCCGCGTTGTCTTTGCGTTGACTTCCTTGAAGCTTCTTTGCTTGCATACCTGTCGTGCAGAACACAAGGAATCGGACCCAATCCTGAACCGGGATGTTTGTGATTCCGATGTCCTTCCCCAAGTCCGACAAGAAGATCCCGAAAGCACTGCGACCATCTGCGCCCCGAGCCCTTTTAGCTCAGGCTTCGCCTTCACACTCTATGCCATCGGCTGGGGAGCCTTCGGCTTGCGGCCCTGGCTGAACTTCCTGAACAGGCGCGACGCGCCTTCCGCCCCACAAAAAAACAAACAAACATGTAACATATATATATATATATATAAATATCTAGATTTATATAAATAATATAATAGAAAAAGAAAATAAATAAATAAATAAATATATATATAAATATTTTTTTATATAAATAATATAATCAAAAAAAATATATATATATATATCAATTTCTTTGGAGTCCCTGTCAGGCGCTTCCCGGGGAGAGCTCCGAGCCTTGGCTCCGTCCAATGCGTCCACTGCGTCCCCTGAGCGGTGGGACGGACGCTTTTTTCGAGCCTGCCCGGCGAGGTCGGAGATCTGCAAGAAAGTTGCCGCCCAACAGTTTCTGTGGCATCTTGCCTTCAAAATTGGGGACGGCTCTCCGTACGAATTGATCCGTCCTGAGACTCTGTGTAGGAATCCGACAGTTTACCTTCCCAGCTTCTATGCGTTCAATGGCTTGCTTCGTTAGGAACTCAGTTCTCTACGTTGTTGTTGCGGCAACGTCGGACTGTGCCCTTGCCAGAGGTGGCCAAGATGTGGACTCGCTTATCGTCAAAATTCGCATCTGACTCAGGAAGTACATAGCGTTTCTGCGAATGTCCTTCAGCCCTTCCCCAGCTGAGGTCAAGAGTATGTCAGTTGCCTCGTGTACATCTGGAAGGCAATTTGCAGTGGTCTTGCCCAACATCGAACATGTGCCGAGCTTTTATCACGTGATGTAATGTTGATGGTCCAGAAAGTTGAAGTCGCGTTGCTGGCAAGGTGTGGATTCCATTGTCCTTCAGCATCTTTGCCTTTGTCCCGGTGCGCCACCAGGCCAGACAGCACCTGCAGGGCAACTAGTGCAGCATGCCAGGGGGCAATGACACACGTTTGGCTGGAATCTAATACTGTAAGAGGTAAGGAGTCGGTGGGAAAACTTGTGTCCTATGTGCGGTATCCAACTGAGTTCGGTGCTCAGGTGGCGGCCAACTTTCTTGCGAATTTGCTGTGGTCGCTTGTATCGAAAGGGCTCATCACTTGCACGTTGAGTGTTTTTCGTTTCGGTGCTGCGTCATGCAGCTGGGGCTTCTTCCATTGTGCCAAAGCAGTCTTATGGCACTTGTTGACTTTGGGGTGGCCAGCGGCTAGCATTCTTCCGAGTCCTACTGTGCTGTTCCGTGCTTTCTGCAGGAACACTTTGCTGTCGCTCTTCTACAACAGCGCGGGCTCGGTGAGCGAATGATTGTGCTTGGCATGCGAGCTTGTGACGGGGACGTGCAAGAGAAAGCATATTCAAGAGCAACAGGATGGGCCAAAGGAGAAGTCAATGGTTTTCGTCGGCGGAGAAGCTTCAAACCTTCCAATTTGCTGATCGCCTTTTTGGTGAGCCCGGGCGACCTCAAGCTGATCCTGTCCACAAGCAGCCCGGCATCAAGTTCATGGCAATGTCGCTCGGAGGCACACTTTCCTGACGGCCTCAAACTGCATAGTCATTGTGGTGTGGGCCGTCTTTGTGGATGTTTGCGGCTTTGCACGGCATCCTCACTGCAAGACTGAAGCGCTAAGACTTTCTGCTAGAACGGCATGTCCTGCATTGCGGCAGCATCGGCTGGAAAACGATCACTGTGGAGTCTTCTTGTGGCCAGATTGGAAATGTCTTGTGTTTGCGCATTAGAAACTGTCAGATAGACGGCACGACCACAGCAGGGCCAGGCATCCAGAAGGTTTGTGTGTTCTGAGGCTGATGCCAGAACGCAGGGTTTGAAGATGTTTGAAGCAACAGCATGGCTTGCATGTCCTTGTCAGCCGTCTGCTCGAAACCGTGCACTTCTCCATGTGTGTTGCCCTTCGGTCTTGGAGCATGAGCCCCGTCTTGCTGCTCGCGATGGTCGCGGCTGTCCATTCGCAGCACTGCGATGGCAGTTCAGATGTGAGTGACCTCATGCAGCATTCGGCGTTGGCCAAGGAGAAGGAGGTCTCGTGGAACGAATTCATGCACACTGCGAAGCAGAGCGAGCGTGAAAGTTCCATGCCAGTATTCATGGCCAAGATGGGCTTGGATGCAGCTTTGACAATGTTGATGCGCCAGGTGCATACGGTAGACAAGGCAGCCGTGATGACCTATGGCCAGCTGAATGGCTTGGTTGCAGATTCCTCGCACAAAGAGGCAAAGGCCGTCCTGCACCAGGCAGTGACTCCCCTGAAGAACCTTTTCCGTGAGATTGCGAAGCAGCTGGAGGAGGGAGGTGTGCAGACCAAGATGGCGCTGGGAATGGTAGGCCTGAAGGATGCTAGCAAGGCCTACGACACCGCAGTGGGTAAGGCGAAAACGGTCCTTGAGTCCTTGAGTCATGCCTGCACTGCGCTGTCTGGTAGTCAGCTGCAGCCAAGCTTGGCCAAATGCTCCAAGGAGAGTACGGCATTCCAGCATGCATACCCGAAGATCATGCAGACATTCTTGACATCTCTGGGTGACAACCTTCTGGACAGCGTTGAAGACAAGCACGAGTTGGAGGGATACATTCATGTGAAGGTACCTCGTGTGATGAAGATCGTCGAGGCGATGTGCACGAAGGCAGAGAGTTCGAACACATGGCAAACCTACATGATATGCATGCATCCTTGCTTGACCCTGTTAGGTCCAGACAGTGCTGGCTGGATCGATGAAGGATTTGTCCAAGTTAAAGCAGAGCTGAGCCCCAACGGATGTGAGTTCCCGATCAAAGAGGCGGCCGCGACAGGGCGCGATTTTCAACAGCAGTGACCAGTCTCCTGCTGTGCTTGTCGCAAATGCGGTTGCAGTTTTAAACAACGTTTTAACCCATGCTTTTGACTACTTCGGCCCTAATGCGGGCAAATGGCGAGAAACACTCGTTGAAACAGTTTCTCAGACGACGCGCATCCTGTTCGCTCTATGCTTAAGGCCGGAAGGCAGCAGCAAGCACCTTTGTTTGGCTCAGGGGGTGATGTAGAGGTGGCAGTTTACCACAGCATCCGCACTTGAGAGACTGTCAGCGATCGCATTCGTGAGTGGACATGCGACTCATGTGGGTGTACACGCTCGGGATCAGCTTGTTCCTACACTCCAGAGGTCCCCCTTGACAGTTTTCTAGGCCTGTTCTGCTCATTCCAGCCATGGCCAAGCGGCAGGAGGCAGAGTTAAAGCAAATCAGCTTGCAGTGCTCTGTTTGCACTTTGGGAAGCTAGGCGTGCGATGAGTTCCATGCTTCCATGCTCGCAAGACAGGATAAAGACCTTGTCCCAGGCGTGCAGAGAAAGGCGCTCAATCTACTTTAGCCCACGAGATACGAGTAACGTAGAGCTGAGAACGTGAGGGCTAAGAGTGGCAACAGTGCCGCGATGGTGCTGAGATCCGCGAGAGACGGGAGGGGTTGTCAGCGCAGGAAAGACTATGGGGAAAGAGGAAGCAGCAGACATGCTCATGGGGGTGGACATCGAGGGGCAGTGTGCAGGGAGACCTTCTGACGGCCGTGAGATCGAAACATTGAAAAAATCCATCTGCATGGGTTTTGCATAAAGTGACAGAATGCATGCACTGAATGTCGTCTTTGGTATCGATGCCTTGTGCATTGGGTGACACATCACATTACAACAGCCAGCTAAGTTGCACAACTGGAGCCGCAATTGCCCGTAGTCGTCGGACAGCATATCTGAGCACTCTGCAGTCTTGCTGTCGACGGGAACACACAGATAGACACGCAGAGACATTTTTCTGTTCAGGCCGGCTTGAATGTCCCCGATTTTCGCCGCAGGCGTTTGGGGACACTGCTGTGCTTGGAATTCGGAATGCCAAGTCAAATCCTTACATGTCTGACCCGATAGGCTGATCATGTCCGGGCATTCCAGTTTTGATTTGCTCGGAATCTAATTGTTTCAGGAGGGCGGATGCCGTTGTACAGCTGCTAGCGCTGCGCCAGGCAGCGGCCCTTGCTGGCCTTGATTGTCGGCTCTGCAGCGGCTGCCCGGACCTTGCTGTGTTGAGAGGCAAAGTCGGGAAATTGTGCTCTGTCGCCCGTCAGGCCTTGGCACCTGCTTGGGTCGCCCCGAGCTCGCGCAGCCTCGGGGTTTCCCAAGGCCGGCAGAGCAATCACCGAAGTCGAGAATGCTCATGAATGCAGCAGGTCCAGAGCACCATTTGGCTCCAGCTCCAGTTGAAGATTTCCAGGATGGAAGGCAGCGGCCCGGTCTGCCGGGTGCAACTCAAGCTCCTGCGAGAAAGGTCATCTCTGGCGTCACGTCGGTCCTGGGGCCTTCTGGTGATGGGGGCCGCGTGGGGTGCAGGCCGGGACCAAGAGTCGGTGGCTTGCGCGGCTGTCCTTCGCTGCCGGTCAGGTTTGGCTTCAGCTCAAGCCCTGGTGAAGGGGAGCACTCCTCCAAAGGGCTATGGCCTAGGAAAGGGCATCAAGGAGGCCTGCGAGTGGAACCGGTGTTGTTGTGTAGTGCATACCTGCACGTAGGAACAAGTGTAAGCGGTCGGTTGGTAGCACTCCGGCTCGACCACTTGAAATTTTTGCGGTTGGTTTCGAGCCTCGGGTGCCCTCTTCGCCCGGGCCTCGGGCGACCCATCTGGTTCGACTACCACGATGTGGGCGTCCAGACTGAGGGGAGATCTTTATTCGCACCTTCATCGCCGGTGCGTCGGTGGAAACCCTCACCGCGGCGATCTCGCTTCCAGAACCCGGACGACGAGGGGCGGTGGAACCGCCTGCGCCTGCGCGGCGCGGCCATGGGACATGTCGCCACCGCCCAGCCCAGCCCTCGCCGCCGCTGCGAGCATTGGGCGGCAGCCCTTGGAACACTGCTTGGCGTCCTGGCAGTGTCTGGACTGGAAGGGGTTTATGGAGTTCCTCGGGCGCGACTGGTCGCAAAGGACGTGGACTAAGGTTTCGATATTCCCCCGAAATGAAAGGCCCGGACTGATGCGGCGCCACTCGACCAGCTCATCCAGGAGACTCGCCGCCCCTCGACCGTAGACACGGCCTGCGTCGAGGGAACCGCGATGATGGCATGCAATCCAAGTGGGGGCAGGCGCCGGGCGAACGTGACGAAAGGCAAGACTTGGGCGATAATCTCCAAGACGTAGATGAACGCCTTCCTGCCTGCGAAGGGGGCCAGGTGCGTGGGTTTGATGACGCCGAATCGTAAAAAACCTGACCGCCGAAGAACCCTCTTGTCTTGGGACCGGCGGGGGCGATGTGGCCCGCATTCTTCCGCAGGTGGCCGGCCGTCCAGGAAGAAGAGGACCGGGAATGGTGCGAACACACGCCCAGGCCATGGCACAAGCTTGGGTCGGAGCGCGGCCCGTATACGCCGAGTGACAGTGAGTTAAGATGTGGGCCTGGCGTTTCGCCGTGGGCCACAAGGCGACCTCGGGCTCTCCTGGAAGGCATGGTTTGGAAACCAAGCAATGCGACAAAAATCGGCGATCGCGGGGTGGGCGTCGTGGGCGAACGGCGCGTCCTCGGTGCCCTTTTAAAGTCATCGACGAAGTGGCCCATCGCCCGGGTGAGCGTCTGCACCGCATCCGCCCGGTGAAGTTCCAGACGCTGGCCGATCACATGGCGAAGTGGAGCCACAACGTGACGCCGGCCGCGCACGGGAGGAACGTCCCGCAGTGGCCTGGGTGCTTGGCCGCATATTGGCGGTAGGCGCTCTGCGTGGCCGAAGACCAACGGGTCCCAATCTTCCGCCCAGGCCGCCGAATGAGGTCGACGATGTCTGTCAAGCGGCGCCAATCCTCACCCCCGGCGGAGCTTCAAGTTTCCATGCTCGCCGACCTGACAGGCAATCGCCCACGGGCGGTTCGAGCGGCACGCCCATGTCGGCCACCGTGGGGACCGCCCGATGATGCAGGTGTTTGACGAGGTGGCCGTCCGGCACCGAGTTTTCGGGCGGTGTGCCCCGGCTTCGTTTGCGCTACGACCAAAAATTGGCCACTGCAACTTGGTAGGCATGTTCGGCTAATGATTTAAGCGCTTGTTGTGTAGTGCACTCATGCACGTAGGAACAAGCGTAAGCGGTCGGCCGCTGGCACTCCCGCCCGACCGCTCGAAATTTCAGATCCCACCCTCGCCACCCTGAGGTCTTTTAATCCGTGACTTCGTTTGACCATCGGCCGGCACTCGCCCCTTCGGGCGGTGCGCAGGACAGGCGCAGAAGTGCGCACCCCGGCACCGGCACCGAGTTTACGGGCAGTGTGCCCGGCCAGGCGCTTTTTGCGCTACGACCAAAAAGGGGCCACTGTTCCTTAGTAGGAAGTTTTGGCTAACACGCCATTAGCTAAGCGCTTGTTGCCGCAGAAACTGAATTTGAGTGTTCCAGGCTGCCGACTGCAAATCCCTGGCGGAATGCGAAGAGCTGGGCGCGAAGCGCGAAGAGGTCTCTCTTGAATTGAATTTTGTAGACTCCAATTGACTTGCAGAACTGAATGGAAGCCTATAGCTCGAGACATCTTGAGATCATCTTGAGATTGAGATGTTGGGAGCTTGCTGACATCATTCCCCGTAATCTCATCGGTGCTTGCCAGGAGAAGTACGGAACGAAGATGGCCAGCTGCTCATGTTCCAACAAGTGTGCATGTAGCTTTGTTCGAGCAGGAGAAGACTTTCAAAGTCACAGCCAGTGGAGCCCGATGGAAGGACCGGTTTTAACTATGTTTTACCTGTCTCCGTGTTTCGAGCTTCCCGCCAAAGGCGTACATGGCGACAGGACATGAAGGTGGGCAACGAAGCCGACGGTGTGGCGAAGGTCGGCGATGACCTGAAGCTGAGGCATGACGCACTGCCGTGTAGCCGGTGGTTGTGCCAAGCACAGCTGCAAAGGTCCAAGCATGTAAACGAGGAGTGATCGGGCTGGTTGGCAAGGTATCGGGTTATGCGTGCTGGCAAGCGCTCCTACGATGGTGTGTCTGGTGAGGCCCCGCCACAAGAATGGGCAGAGTGCAGAGTATTCTCGGCTAGGCTGTGCAAGCTGTCGCACTTGCTTGAATGAGGCCACAACGCTGTTTTCTCTGGGATATGGAGAAGGTGATGACGAAAAGAAGGCTCACGTTGACAGAGGGCCTGTGGCAGTTGCACTGTTGGCAAAGTCCTGCGTGGGCCCGGCCTCGTGCAGTTGCTTCTGGCAAGGACGCGACTCTCAACGCACCGCTGGGAACGGGCCGGTTCGTCAAGGCCGGCTCAGCATGCTCAGAAACTGTGGAGACTCCTCTAAAACTGAGCATCTTCGCAGAGAGAGGCCATCGATGAAGGCCTGGTTGGCATGTCTGTGGGCGGCATTCGACGAGTCCAGGCACACCCGAGTGCAGGTTTGTTCGGAAGACTGCCCAATCTCTACCGTATTGCAGTTGTTATCACACCCGAACCCCATCTCACCCTTCAGTTCCTTTCGGCTTTTTCTCTCCAATGATCTCATGAATTTGCGCAGCACCCATGATGCCGCAAGAGTGTCGCACCTTCTCTGCTATCTCCCTGCCGCAGAAGTCGATTGCAGGTCCGGCCTGACTATGGACTTGGCTGGAAGAAGCCCGGAAAGTGTGCCGAGGCAATTGGAGCAGGCCTGTTGAAGTATCAATTTCCGGATCATCAAATTTATTTCAAACTGTAATGTCACATCTTGCTTCGGTATTTTGGTTTTTCTTGCAGCCACGTACGGTAATGCGTTTGTCTTCAGGCCCACAGTTCAGTGTCTCCAAGAGATTCCAAGAGCTAAGTGCCAGCGGTTTTTTTGTCGACCGGAAGACTACAATACAGAAGAAGTGCGACTCCAATGCTAGCTGCTAGCAGTGCTTCCAAAAGCGACGCTCCAATCGTTCAGAGTCCCCGATGCGTTATGACAGGGGTTGTGTTTCACATGCCCTGCTTGAAATCTTAGCAACGTAGCACCCGAGCCCTTCTCGTCAGTTGGTGCCATTGCCGGCCTGCCTGCTGCTGGAGCGGAGAAGGAGTCCGCGTGTGCGGAACCCAGGCATCGAAGTGAAAGCATAAAGTTTTCCCCCCCCCCACGTGGGGTGTCGCTGCGCGGAGTTGCCCATTTGATGGAGAGCCAAGGCCTGGACACTTCGCTGCTGCCCCAGCCCGAGGACCTTCCCCGTGCAAGCGCCTGCGCAGAGCTCAGAGTTGTGGCCCACTTGCATGGGAGGACTGGAACGCCAAGCGTCGCTTCGAGCGACGTTTCGACGAGTCCTTGATCGTGGAGATGGAGTCCGGGGCCCAGAACCGGAAGAGCAGATTTTTTCGCAGGAGTTTTTGTACTTTGACGAGGCTCGTTGGACTCGGCAAGTGAGGTGCGCTCTCAAAGAAGAAAAAAGACCGGGCACTGTCTGCACCGTGGCAGAAGCGGATCGATAACATATTTGACGAGGTTTTCGTTTGCCCATGTTCCATTGCACGAAGGATTGCAACCTTGCCACTCGGCCTGCTTGCGGACTCACAGCCGGCAGGTCCGCAAGAGGTGCAGGGCCAGGTAGAAGCTCCGCAAGCGGGCAGGAAGCAGTGCCTCCGAATTCCGACAGTAACAATGATCTCACTGATCTGTGCAGCATTTGGTTTGTCATCGTCAGAGATCACCCCTGGAATGCTCGTACCACTAAAGTCACTAAAGAGGGCATCAACAAGACAGCGATCCTCTCCCGTGTGAGGGTATGGGACATGTGCGGTTCAGAGGCATGGAAAACGCTAGCCACAAACACTGCTTGTGATGTCAGCGCAAGCTATGCTGGTGCGTAACGCGCGGTTGCCGGGCTCTTGAGTAGGCCATGTGTGGGCACGGGTGAGGCTCCGAAAAAGCGAACGGGGCGACATGGGACGTGATTACTACTCTCAGCTGATGCATCGCAGCTTTCGGCCGTCGTGTGGATGGTGACCTGGTCATGGCTGTTGGCCAGCAGTGCCTGCTCCCGCCTGAAGCCACTCCGCCTGCCGGTCTCAGCTTATAGGTCTAGCTTCAGGATTGCAGGATAGTCAAAGAGCCTGGAAACGTCTTCCTCTTTCCTTTGGGTGCTCGATGCCACCCTCGTCAGCCCGGTTACACAAGCCGCAGCCGGGCGCTGACACCCGCCGTCCAAGCCGCCGCTCGCCACAAGCGTCGACAAATGCCGCCGCTCCGGGCCGCTGCCTGTGCAGGCTGGGTCTAGCACTGGTCCGCCCCCCCTGCTCGCAAGCTTCCGCTCCTGCGTCAGGCCGTGTCGCAGTTCTTCTGTACTGGGACCACGGATGCTGCTCCAAAAGGTGCTCGCAAAACAAAAAATACTTTTACATATACTTCTACACTTGCATCTACATCTACATACACATTTACATATACATCTACATATACATATGCATATACATAGACATATACATATGAATGTAAATTGCTTGATGTTTGTGTTTGGTGAGGGCTGCTGTCAGTGATGATGCTGAATGCTGGAGACACAAGCTGATGCTGCTGCTGTTGTTGCTGCTGCAGATTCATCCTTGCACTATGCGGAACATCATCTAACGAACTGCAACACTACACAGCTCACCACCTTCAAATCAAGCTCCGAATAACCCTGACGGGATTAGGGGCAAAAAGGGAAACCAGGATACAGGGTATCCTGGGAACCACACCGCAAACCCTCAACCTGGAATGCCGAACCCTTGCCGAGACCTTGGTGCACTTCTCGATATGTGCATCATGTTTGAGCCGCAATTGGCATGTCATCCCTGCACGCGGGCCATGCTTCAATGGTCCTGGCAACCTTCGTGTGTCATTCTTGCGCAGAGGCCCTGCTTCAATGGTCCTGGCAACGACCTTCGTACTTTTCGATTTGTGCGGATCGGCTGTGCAAACATGTGCAAACACGCTCCTCCTCACGCGAGCGTGCCTGAGGGAACGTGCCTTCTGCACACGAGCCACGCGAAGGTCAAACAAAAGATCATATCAAGACAACTGCCTGAGAGATGCAGGATTATTCCTTCTGCAACACTCGGCCAACTATCACACGCATCCCACATATGCAGATCTGAACACTACATTCAGTGGGCATTTCCATTGTAGTGCAAGCGTATTTCGGCTACATTTCGGAATCTCAGTGTTCATCGAAAGTGTAAGCGAACTCGGGCCAACTCCAGAGCCGATCGTTTCAGCGTCTTCGTCAGCGCATCCGCTGGTAGCTCACTTCCCGGCATGTGCTGAATGTCGAAACCTTCGAGGACGACTGGATGACGGACGTACGAAAACCTGATACCTCCCGTTCTCGTAGTAACAACCGTGTTCACGCATGACACAAGCGGCATTATCACTGAACAAACACATCTGATTTCCAGTGATTGACGCAGTAGGTGCTTAATCTGGGCGGGTCAGCCGCGGCACCCTGACGTTCTTGCGACTGCTGCGCGGGCAAGGGCTCGCCAGCGGGCGCCGTGGTGCGCAGCGGCCGCTCGACAAGCCCTGAACCAGCGCGTTTCAAATGCTGACCATGCGCACGTGGTTTGACGACATGATCGCTACATCACAGCATGATTTCCCCATGCAATCCATATGCCTGATCTGGATCTGGAAGCTCCCGTCGCCCAAGAGGCATCACCATAACAGTTCAAGCACTCGTCCATTGCATCAATATAGTCGTAGTGTAGCTTCACCTGTTCGGTACCTGTCGGGTATGTGCCAACATATGCACTCAGATCTGGAGGCACACCCACATGCACCCACCATAGACATCCCAGCTCCTTCCGACACATCTTCAAGTGAGCATAATACCCGTGTGCTCCTTTGGCATCCACATACCCTCTTCTACATCAGGAAGGTTATCACCAACCCCCGTCGTGCTCCAACCACGCTTCTTCAAATTTATGGAAATCCAGGCATGTTGATGCAAGTAGATCCCAGTGTCATCCCGTCCGATGTTCATGCCGAGAAAAGATAGCTCGTCCTTCGCATGGACAGGCGTATATGATTTTTTTGAGAATTCCTTGAACTTTCAGATCCCACAAACTGGACAGCTTCGCCTTCAGTCAGTCCGTCAGTCAGTCAGTCAGTCAGTCAGTAAGCCTGGTGCAAAAACACATGGGCAGATATACCGTCTTACAGACGCTTAGCACGTGCGAAGACAATATGTTTGGACACTGTTTGGACCAGCGACGCCATACTCATACTATTGAAGCCTGCTGCCACATGTTAGTCAAATTTTGTCTAGAACCTGCGGACATCTAAGGCAAGTCTGTACACTTCTGTGGCCCAAGTCCGGTGTCGTGGTGTACCGCGTCGTCGAGCGGAAGCAGACAGAGTCGGTTGAAAGGAACCATCTCGAAACACACACTTGCGCATGACATCCTCTGACGGGAGCTGTGCAATACGCCGAATACGCCCCAGAAGTGGCAACTGTCGTTGTTGCAGAACGTAGGATAATTTAGCACAGTTCGCCTGTCGCAGAGGAGGTTCGGTCCTTGAACAACCGTTTACGGTGAGTATGTACACAAGAAAAGAGCGCCAGGTGCATTGACCGGCAAAACCCACTACTAGAGAAAGACGAGTGTTACGAGTAAGATCAATCGCCTCACGATAGAAATCAAGGCTATCGCATCTGCAAGCCTTCACGCAAGGATCTCGCGATCTGACAGATGGATGCCACATAGTGTAGATGAGCATTGACAGCAGAATGATTGTTCGGCACGAGGTGAGGATCGAGGCGCGCGGGAAAAAAATCCACCGCAGCAGCTCAGCATCACCGAATTGAGGCACTCGTCGCAAGCTTATAAGCGTTCCACCCAAGTGTTGCACTGAGTATCAAACAGCGGACACTCGCGAATGGCATGCAGCAGAGTACAAGTGGGAGCACCACAAGTGGGAGCACCACAAAGGCAGACGGAAACATCACTTTGAGCGTGCCGGGCAATTCTGCCATCCTGAAACGGGTGATGGCCACAACGTGCTAATGTCCACTCCCGAAGCAGAGACGACGGGAATCGTGAGAAATAAATGTTGTTGCCACTGTGCAAAAGCGGCTGATAGACGGCATATTCCAGCAACACTGGTCGCACAGCATGCTGACTCCAGTGCGCAACCTGCCTTGCACCCGCGGCAGGCAAAAGACCGGAAGAACGAGGAAGCGGAATGCCAAAACTCCGCATCGTTTGCGAAACACTATGTCATGTTCCCAAGAACCCGGTTGCTGCAAAGCAAAGTTGAAGACACGCGCTGCTCAGCTGCGACGAGCACCAAGAGCATCAGCAGCAGCCAGGCGTCCGAAGAGGCCGAATTGCAAACGTTGCATCTCAAACAAGAAAGGCAACCAGCCAAGTTCACCCAGGACCGCGGCACTGGGCGCACCACTTGGCCAGTGCAGGAAACGACGTCCCCATCGGCGAAGCTTTTGGTCCAAGCGAGCAACTTGCCTAGATTCAAGAAAATGAGCTCCATAGACAATCGCAGGCACAACTTTTTGTTTGGAACAACTGGCTACGAAAGCCCGTATGCAATTGGCGATTCTCAGCCGAACCCATGACTTGGTGGAATCTGCGATGCGTGCTTATGCCACTTGCGCGATGCCTCGAAGGTCACCCCGAAGTACGTGTACTGTCGCACACACGGCAACAGAGAGCCTTCAAGCACGAAACGAAAATCAGTCGACCTTGAACCGACAACCATGACAGCTGATTTTTCGGGGCCTATGCCGAACGAGAAACGCCACTAAGAACCCCAAGCAAGCTGAACAGCATCTTCAGCCAAGACCACTAAGTCATCAGCATAGAGCAAAAGTGCAACACGAGGGGCAACTGGGGCAGAGCGGTCAGTGCTCAGTGAAACGCCCGGACACACGGTACGGATGGCGTCGGCAATGCTATTCAGCAGAATGTTAAACAGCAAAGGGCCAAAGACACTGCCCTGCCGCTCACCCGCAGATTCCGTCCAGGACGGAGAGATGGAACCATTGACAACTACCCGCGATTTGACTAACACGACTCACAAATGAAGGTGGGATGCGTAGAATCTGTCGGAGACACCGAGCCTGGAAAGCATCCAGTTTGCAAATGTCGGTTCTTCCACACCACCCAGTGTGTAGAGAGCACATCAGCTTGGAAATGACGCAAGCCGAAAAGATGTGGACTTTCTTTGATGTGTCCAGCACTGCGTGTTTCCACACCCGGCATAAGGCGTGAAAGTCAGCGGTTGCCAAGTCCAGCCTGCGGGTGAGTGCCGCAGTAGCTGTGCCGGATGCAATGAGGCAGGCCCCCCAAATAAGCCATGGATTCCCGAATGCGGATGGGGGAACCGTCCGGTTTCGGGATGTGTGCTTTAGAGTTGATGGGCAAAATCTCTGG